GGGGGGGGGGGGGGGGGGGGGGGGGGGGGGGGGGGGGGGGGCTCACCCACAGGAAGTGGAGCCGCAGGGCTCCCTCGTGCAGCCCCGCCTGTCACCTGCCACCCTGTGCCCGCCCCCTCTTGCCCCCTTCCAGAGCCCCAGCGGGGCCACGCTCAGAGGCCAGAAGCTTTGGGAGCCTGAAGTCTACACAAGGGAGAAGAGCCTGAGGTCTCTCATAGGCAGTGCACCTTAAGTCTCCAGATCACACACTCTCTGGGGCAGGAAGACCCCTGTCCCTCCCCCGGCGTCTTCAGGCTGAAAAGACTGTGGTTGGACTGAGAGACAGGATTATAAAGGCAATGTGGAAGTGAGCCTGAAAACCCAGGTTGAGGTCTCTGTTTTTGTTTTGTCTGGTCCAGCCCTTGAGGGGTTGAGGGACCTTAATGTAGCCTCCAAGTCTCTTAGTTTTAGTTTCCCTATTGGCCACCCCCACCCCCATCTTTATAAAGGAGACGATGCTGAGAATGTTACCGGGATTTCCGGTTTGGTTGCAGGTGCCAGGTACAGGTCTGGTACCACCTTGGAAAGAGCCTAGGGTTGCCGCCCCAAACACAGCCCGAAGGAGCCAGGGCCTGACTACTCAGCAGAATATGCCTTCAGGGGGGCCTGCGCCCAGGCTAGGTAGGGAAGAAGGGATGAGTCAGCCTTGTCCACAAATTACCACCCTTACCTATGCCTGCTTTACCACTGAGTAGGGATGGTAAGAGAGATGAAAGCTGGTGCGGAAGAGAGCTAGGCCCCCAGGTGCCGGTTATGTGTGCCCCGGGTTAGAGATGGGGCACACCCATCCTTCTGAAATAGCCGCCCAAGACAGAATACTTTAGGGAGAACTGCAGAGCAGTGGGGTTGCCCCTGCTAGACCCCAACCTCCAGAGCCCTTAGGTTTGAGCCAATAAACGTTTTCAGCACTGAAGGCACCCGAGCATTCTGTTGCTTGCTGCTGATTTTATAGCTGATGGTATACACATCACCTTGAACTCTGAAGGCCAAATGCTGAGGCTGCACCTTATCCTACCGGCCTCCAATAGCAGCACCTCCAACAGCACTGACTCAGCCTCCCGGGCCTCAGTTTTTTCATCTATCAAATGAGGTGATGCCTCTAGTGCTGGGGGCAGACTGGAAACCCTCTTGTTATAGAAGGCTTCTACCCTCTCATAGGCAGACAACTTCACAGCCAGGCTCCATCCCCTGCCTCTCCAGGGGTTCCTCCTATCACCCCCAACAAATTTCTGCTCCAAACAGACCTTTTCCCTTTCCCCAAAGGTACCTTTCTCACTGCCACACTTTTCCCCATCTGCTCTGCAGCCTCCCTCCTGGCATGCATTCCTTGACCTTCCTTACCTGGCCAAGTCCCCCCAGAGCCTACCTCAAGGATCCCACACAGGAGGCCTTCCTTTCCTGATTGCCCTGGTCTAGGCAGGACGCCCCAGAAAGATTACCATGCTGGTCACAGGTCAGAGCGATTGCAGAAGTACTAGCAGGCATCCAAAGAGGCTCCCGAGTTCTCGAGTGCAGAGGTCTTCCTCCTCCCCTCACACCACCTCACCTTCTGCAGCTCCCAAGGGTGGGCGGCCAGCTTGGCTTTGGAGCCCTTGCAGAGGGCCAAGGGGACCAGGAAGCTTTTCACATGGCCCACCCCTCTTAGCCCTCACCCCAGCCTGTGGGGGGCACCCTACCATTGCCTCCACTTCCCAGGAGAACAATCTAGGGATTAGAGTTTATGAGACTCACCCAAGGCCTCACAGCCCATGAACAGAGTGCTGGGCTTCAGACCCTGGTCTGTCTGATGCCAAAGCCCATGCTCTTGACCTCCATGGGTGTCTTTTACTAACAGCCCTCTCTTAATAATGGGTTTCAGCCTTCCTTTCTCCACTTCTGCCTCCCGAACATTTCACCCCAATCCAGAGCTGGAGAAACTGAGCCTCGGGAGGTTGTTGGGGCTGGTGGTACTACTGGGGGACAGTCCAGCGCTGGCACACAGTCGTCCACGTTCACTGTGTTACTTGCATCCACTTGATGCCTCGGCTACAAGAAACAAAACCAAAGTGTCTGGTGTGGAAGAAGTGTGTTGTCTCCATATGGGGCCGGAGGCAGCGTGGTCCCCAGATGGGGTACCTCAGGGCTTCAGCGCAGCGTCTCTGTGGTTCTCCTCTATTTCTATCTCCCCCTCGGACGGCAGCAGCTCTGCTCTATGACTCCAGACAAAGCCACAAATACAAGAAGAAAAAGGCTACCTCTCCTCACATCTCATTTTCTTTGAAGTCCTCCGCACTCATCCTCCCAGGAGACCTCCCCCAGGGTCTTGTGACCAAAGTGAGCCACATGTTCATACCTCACCACTGGGAAGGAGATCCCTTGGGGTGTCATGGATGTTGGGGGCCAACCACCATGACGACCACAGCTGTGTCTCAGCCAAGTCCACAAACATGGCTGGGAACTGACTCCTGCCAGACCTTGCTAGAATTGGGGCCCAGTGTATAGGTAGCCCTGGTCTCTACCTGGAGGGACCCATGGACAGGTTCTAGAAAGATTGCTCCCAATGAGAAGTACCTTAGGGTAGAAGTTAAAGGGTGAAGTCAGAAGAGGGTGTTATTATATTCCTGAGACAGAAAGAGTAAGTGAGATGAGGCCTAGGTGGGGCACCCAGGATGGGGAGATGGATGTGAGTCATGGAGGAGGTAGAGAAGTGGGACAGACTTCTGAGTGCCCCTCAGAAAACAGAACTCTTTTCAGGCCTCCCTTAGTGACCAGCCCCCCAAAGAGGTGAATCCAGTCCAGAAAATCACAGCTTTTTAATGACAGTTCCAGTTGCTTCGAAACTCAGTTTGCCTTGAGGTGTGGGTGGCTAGGCCTCAGGTTAGGCTCTGGCCCCTCTTTTAAGGGAGAGTCCCCCTCACACAGGCAGAGCCCCTAACCTGTTTTGTCTGGTATTTGAACACATCTATCTGCCTGAAGAATTCAGGATATAGTAGGTCCAAGGATTGAGAATACAATGCAAAATCAGTTGTCACATCGATCAACCCCTCAGACCCTGGGCAGGGCTCCGCTCCAAAAGCCACTTCATTTAACCTTCTGAGCCAAATAAACAACAAAATCAATACTACTAGCCACCATCAAGGGCATCTCAGTATCTGTGGGACCTGCATACAGTTTGTGTGCTTTAGCTCACTGACTGCTTTCTACCAGGACAAGCTATTTCATTTGTGGGGTTAAGGCAAACAGAAAACGAAGACCTCTTACTAAAACGGAAAGGATAAAAATTGCCGTTAAAGACACTAAAATGTAAAGTTATCCCCTTTCTCACATTCTCTCACTCTGTTATGGTGCTTTACTTCCTATTGAATGTGCTTCTGCCCAAACCCCATCAGCTGCTGGGTTTCCTCTCCGGCCCACTGCTGGACTGAGTTCCCTGGCTAAGGACAGGGAAGTTAGCCAGTCGTCTCCCCTTCCCCAGTGAATAGGAAACCCCTGGGGTTTTGCACATTCAAGCCAAGATGTGCTTACTTGCTCTTTCTTCTCTTTCTTTCTTTCTGATTTTATTTATTTACTTGGCAGAGAGAGAGAACAAGCAAGTGGAGCAGCAGGCAGAGGGAGACTGAGAAGCAGGCTCCCCACTGAGCAGAGAGCCCGATGTGGGGCTCAACCCCAGGACTCTGGGATCATGACCTGAGCCGAAATGCTTAACCGACGGAACCACCCAGGTGCCCCAAAGATGCACTTTTCACCTGTGTCAGGAATGGGAGAAAGACTCACCCAACCTCCCACCCCCACCAAGTCACCTGCTGAATGTACTATGGTGCTGTCAGCCTAGGGCAGCGAAAGCCACTGACATGACCCATCCTGAGGTGCTACCAGGCAACCCTGAGCCTCCCCATGCCTGCGCCGTTGTTGCTAGGCAAGCTAGGAAGCTGAGAACGAACGCAGGGCAGGTAGTAGGAGCTGGGACCACATAGGAGCCAAGGCTCCGAGCCCTTCACTGTCTCATGACACTGCACTTACAAAACACAAATTCGAAGATTATATTATTAAGAATTTCAAGGGGCTTCCCAGTGGTGCAGTCGGTTGAGTGTCCGATTCTTGGTGTCCGCTCAGGTCATGATTTCAAGGGTCCTGAGATTGAGGCCCACATTGGGCTCCACACTCAATGCCAAGTCTGCCTGAGACTCTGTCTCTCCCTCTCCCTTTGCCCTTCCCCACCCACTCACGCTTGCTCTCTATCTCTCTCAAATAAATAAACCTTTTAAAAAAAGAAAGACGGCGACTGGAGAGCATTAAGACCCAAGTGCAGGGTTCTTCTGAGCAACAGGACCCTGTGCGGAGCTGCTCATCCTTGAAGCCCAATCTCTTCACTACTGCCTGTTCCCCACACAACAGTGTCACATTTTCAGACCCAAATTTGATCTTGTACCTTCCCATTGTCATCTTGCTATGACTTCCCACCATTCTTAAGACAATGGTCATTGTTCTTTTTTTAAAGATTTATTTA